TTAGTTCAAAAGAAGTGGAGGTTCCAAATGGTGGGGGTCATTTCCAGGCAGAAACCTTCGTGTGACCTGGGTGTGGGGACTGTCTGTCCACTGTCACCATGGGTGAGTGGGCATGGCTCCTCACCAGATGCAGAGGAAGGGACACACTGAGCCATTTAATGTTTATTGAGCGCCTATTATGTGCTCAGGGCTGTCCTGATGGGGTGCTGCTGAGAAGGTCCCTGCCATCGTGGGACCGGCGGTTAGGTCACGGGCACACAAGTGTATCCCGGGTGGCTTGGTAATAAGGGCTTCAGGGCAGGCTAGAGAAGGCTCAGGGGAGGGTATTTAGTGGTTTAACTGCTCTTCAAGGCTGGCGAGGTCAGGAGCTTCAGAAGATGACTGCTGGGAGGCGAATAGTTGGGTCTCCACAGTGCCCAGGAGGTGGGCGTGTGCCTGGCCCTGGAAAGGGACACAGGGAGATTCCAGGGTCAGTTAGGTGAGGGGCCCGAAGGTGTGGTTTCCTTGGGAAGAACAGGAGAGGCAGGCAAGCTGGCCGAAGAGTGGCTGATTTGAACAGTGCAGCCATGCTGGGTCGCTGAGGCTGTCCCAGAGACACCTGGCGTCGAGATGGTGTGGGCAGGCGGACATCGCTCTGGAGTGTGAGGGCCCCATACCAGAGTGGTTGGGTGTGTGTCACTGCAGCCCCGGGAGGAGCAGGCCTAGGGTCACAGCATCAGGATACAGAAAATAAAATAATAGTTGATATGCTGGGCACAGGCTGGGAATGCAATCTTTCATACAGAGCTCAGAGAGTCAGGCCTCTCTGCTTAGGTGACATCTAAGCAGAGTGAGGGGCAGGAACACGCAATGTGGGGAGAGTCCTCTGGACTGAGACAACAGCAAGTGCAAAGGCCCTGAGGTCTGTTTGGTGAATAGAGTTTGTGTGGTTATAAAGGAGAAATGTAGGGGCGACAAGGAGGCCAGACCCGTGAGGTGGGGGTGAGGAGGAAAGTCACCAGTGGTGGTGGTGTGGGGTGGGGTTGGGACTCTGAGGAGAGATTAGCAGGATCTGACTTGGGTTCCAACAGAGTCTCTTGCTACAGTGTGCAGAATAGAGAGGGAGAGGAAGGGGTACAGGAAGAGGCCGAAACAGCCCCAGGGAGAGTATGGAGGTGCAGGAGAGCCAGGTCTGATGGGACCGGAAGGGGAAGGGTGAAGGAAAGAGGCAGGAGAGGAGCACTGGTGTCAGGAGAAATATTTCTTTTTTCAGGAGGAAAACAGATGTGAGGCCATTTTAGTAAATTGGAGCAAAAATGATGCCTGTGCCCATCATCCCACATGTGATGGTTCAGATCTAAAGTTTCCCTCCAAAGTCTGTTTTTGTCAGGTGACTGGAGCATAGGGCCACGCACTCCTGGGTGGATTCATTCATCGCTAAGTTCCTGCCGAATATGCGTTAGGAGGGTGGGGCCTGGTTGGAGGGAGTCACTGGGGCTCCACCTGGAAGCGGGTGTTGTCTCTGACTCCTCCTTCTGTCACTTCTTCCTAGTCTCCGCGCAGTGAGCGACTGCCCTCCACCAGACCCTTCCACCGTGTCGTTTTTCCTTGAAGCCAACAAACCATGGACTGAACCCAGTGGAAGCCATGAGCCCGCCTTTAAGTTGCAGGCGTTGGCTATTTTGTCCCAGCAATGGGAAAGCTGACCGATACACCACGTGTATGGAAATACTTTATTCCCTTGTATTTTTTTTTTTTTTTTTTTTTTTTGGTACCGGGGATCGAACTCGAGTCCTTGCACTTGCAAGGCAGGTGGCGGAACCGCTGAGCTAAACCCCAGGCCCTCCCTTGTATTTTTATTGCAAGTGATCAGCAACTGTAGGGCAGGGACTGGGGCTGCTGTAGTCCTGCTTTGTTTGGTTGCTTGGTCCCCGGCTGCTACGGCAGGGCCTGGATCAGCAGAGGGGCACTGGATAGCCACATCTGCCTGCAAGGTTTCCCACAGGGGATGTTTCTCTGCTCAGTGCTCGCTCCATGGCTGGCAGAATGTCTGATTTCTCTACCCCTGGGCCTTTGCACTGATGGCTGTTCTCCACCTCATGCTGGCCCCAGAAACTCTGCCAAGCCACCCTTGTGCTCACCAATGTCAGAAGTTTTGTTTGTTTGTTTAAAGCCAGGTGTGTAGCTCAAGGCTTTGTGTTAAATCCACAGTAATAGAAAAAGAAAGTTTTCTTCAATTCACATGCTTGTGCTCTATCACTGTGAGGACCCCACAGGGACGGGGTCTGGTCCACATATTTCCCATCCTGGCCCCTGCAGTGGTATGGGGGTGCGGTGCCCCAGCAGCACCAAGGTTAGGCACTCAAAGCTCCCAGCAGCACCACTTGGGGAGCCCCCCTGGCAGAGCAGCACTGCCTGGCCCGGATCTGTCAAGCAGCCAGGCAGGTGAAGCAGGTGAGGCCCAGTCACACAGGGACAAAGGTACACCCTGCTTGTATTTCTTTGTTTCCCCTGCTTTTATTTAATGCTTAGCTATTTTATTCATTGTGGTGGCATTGTTTAAATGTGCCAAAATATCTTTTGTTTTGCTAGAGGAGTTTTCTGGCTTACGCTGAAATTTTGTACTGGGACAGGTGCCTCATGCACACCCCGTCATCCTGGCCCTGCGCAGAGCGGGGCCTGGGAGGCTGTATGCTGTGCCAGCCCCACCAAGCTAAGTCTGAGATGGGGCATGGCTGTGTGACTGGAAGCCTTGGGAGCCTGTGGTGCTGTTTCCGCTAGTGCAGGGGCTTCACGCGAAGCCGTATGCAGCCACCTACCTGTGTCGGGGTCAAAACTGAGGCCCCATGAGTGTGGGGCACGGAATTGTACCTCCAGTGATCACAGCAGCTCTTGTTTGGATGTCTGGGCTTTTCTGCATCAGTTCCCACAAGAAAGATGGTTCCCTTGCCAGAAAGGGGCCCAAAAGCCTCAATCTAAAAGCTGAGGGTGGGTCTAGAAGCAGCTTGTTAGGTGTCTTGATTTCTTTTTGTACTGGGGTTTGAACCCAGGACTGCGGGCAATGCTGGGTCAGTGTTCTATTACTGAGCTACATCCCCAGCCCTTTTAAAAATTTTATTTTGAGACAGGGCCTTGCTAAGTGGATCAGCCTGGCCTTAAGCTATGGATTCTCCTGGCTCAGCCTCCTGCTTAGCTGGGATTACAGGCAGGTGCCTGTCTGGCCTTCCTGTTTCTTACCTAGTCAAGGGCCCCTGTGAGCCCAGCCCCTCTGTTCCTAGGTGAGGTCTTGAATGGTGGCCAGTCTGTGCCTTCGCCTTGGTCACCAGGACAGAGCATAATTAGCAAGATGAGAGCAGAAGTCCTGAGCACTGTTTCTGGGGCTCTGTCCTCAGTGTAGCAGGCCAGGAGCCTTGTCTCTGGGCACTGCCCCAACCCAGTGCTCCCTCCTCCACTGCAGGCAGCATGGCTATTTCACTCCGAGTTGTAAAGGGCTGCATTCCATCGCTGACTGCTCAGCATTTTCAGCTTCCTTGATCCTAGTCACTCTCTAGAGGGAAAGGTCACTCCATGGATCTGAGGCCCTAGCAAGACGCTGACACCCCCTGCACTGGGGAAGGGAGAGCTAATTAATCGGAAAACTTACTTTGCATTGTGAGTCACTGGAGGCAGGTGTCAGGGGGCCTTTAACGAGGCCCTTGTGACCCCGCCTCACCTTCCCGTGAGTCTACAGTGCTGACAGCTGCACCTCCCCGAGGAGGGGCTCCAAGGCCGCTGTTCCAGGACCCAGCCTCCAAAACTAATGCCTTTCTGAACTCCAGCCCTCTCCCTGTATTCCTCCCTTCTTTCATTTTGTGCAATCAATGGGCATCCAGCTCCTACTAGGCGCCAGCCCCGAGGGAGGTGCTGAGAGTCAGTGGCGAATCCTACTGCTGAGGCCCTGCTGCTATAGACCGGCCTGCTCATTCAGGAGATGGAGCACAGCTAAGGAGAGGAGTAGACTGCGGCGCTCCCAGCTGATGAAGATCAAGCAGGGTAGGGACAGTCTGGCAGTGGTGGAGGTGTTGGTGTGGGCGCTTTGGAGAGGTGGCCGCCAGCCATGCAGTGCTCTATAGGAAGAGCATTCCTGACCGAGGTGGGAGAGGAGCTGGAGAGGGCAGTGCCACACTCAGGTGCTGGGCTTTATCCTCAGGACAGCCCGAGGACCCGGGTAGGGCCCTGTGAGCAGACTTGTTTCAAAGTGTGTTTCTACTGCGGCTGGGTGAGGCGCGGGCCTCGGCTCAGCGGCAGGGCTGGGATGAAGACAGTGAGGGCCAAGCTCGTGAGTGCGACGTGGTGGGCACAGGGGGGGACTCTGATCCCCGGGGTTGGGTCTTCTGGGCTGGGGTCCAGCCACCCGTGCCGCCGGAGGTCGGGGAGCAGCCCGGGGTGGTGGGTGCTCTGTAGGCCTTTGGGGGCTTCGATGTGCTGCTCGGGCTGTCCGGGGCGGTAGCCCCACGGTGGTGTAGATTTCAATCTGGGCAAGTGGCTAAGCGTGTTTTTAGTATTAAATAAATGTGGAGTAGAACGGCAGTGCACACTGTTATTTAAAGACAGAAGACAGCGACTGGACCTTCGAAGTCAGCAGTGCTGACGGCCTTTGGCCTTTTGTGTGCCTCGAGGGAAGGTTTGAGAAACGGGCCTCGAGGTGCGGAGGAGAGTGCAGGACGGGAAAGGGAGGAGGCCGACGGGAGAGGGCCGAGGCCCAGGGGGTGAGGCAGAAGCGAGGGAAAGCGGCAGTTTCTTAAAGGCTGCTGTCGTCCCTTCCTCCTGCCGAGAGGGTCCCAGCGGCCCAGAGGGGAGCCCTCCCCGTCCTCTCCAAGGCCCGTGTGCGCGCGTGGAAGGCATTTGCTTTCCTTCGCCCGCCTCCGGCCCCGGACACACCCACACCACAGGCACGGTAGCTGCTGCTGTATTTTTCTCCGGCCAGGCTTCGCAGGGCGGACTATTTACACAAGCTCTGGCCTCACTGAGGGGAACAGACTCTCCCTTGGCGGACGGCGGGAGCGTGAGCCGCGGGCGGCAGGCGGGCTGGGGGCGTCCTCTGGGCTCAGTCGTTGTCTCTGAGGTCCGAGGAGGCACTTCCGAACAAGATGTCGCTGTCCTGGGACATGCCGCTCAGCTGCGACTTGGTTTTGATGAGGAACTGGGCCCTGCGGAACATGACGCGCTCCTGCTCCTGCTTGAGCTCCAGGTAGGAGCGGGAGAAGGTGTGGAAGATGGAGGTCACCGGGAAGGCCATGAGCAGGATGCCGCTGAGGATGCTGCTCAGCGCCACCACCTGGCCCGGCGTGCTCCGGGGCACCATGTCCCCGTAGCCCACAGTCGTCATGGTGATGACGGCCCACCAGTAGCAGGCAGGGATGCTGGTGAACTCGGGGCTGTCTGCCATCTCGTTCTCGATGACGTAGAGGAGGGGCGCGAAGAGGGCGATGGCCACGCACAGGAAGAGCAGCAGCAGGCCGAACTCGCGGGTGCAGCGG